TCATTAATGTTTTGCCTTTTACGTTATGTGAAAAGATCCTTTGATGGAAATCAAAACAACATGACCATTGTTGAAATACAAACCAAAAAAAAAGAAGAAGAGAAGTTTATTTGAAATATAGTAATTATATAAAATTAGAAGATTCATGCACCACAATGTGCTGAAATTAAAGAAGCATAACACAATCCAACAAACACGCTTTAATTTTCTTATCCCTATGTTTTTCTGTCTGTTTTATAACAGACATCCTATAAAACTAGGTATATCCTTACAAGCCCTCCTCCTGCTTACTGTCCTACGTACCAACATCTGTTCAAGATTTTCATTAAGTAAAAATTTGAGTTTTGATTATCAAATAATCAAATTGAGTAAAAATACTGCATGTAAAATATAGAGGAAATACATAATTACCTTATTAAACTTATATATTTTCTTCAATTAAACACTTAAAATTTATGGGGGTCTTATCATTTCACGAAATAATTCAAATCCACAATAAATATATCATTTTGATTCATTTTTACAATAATTGTAATTTCACACTAAAAAAACGCGTGAAAAGGTAAACTTGCAGCCCCAAATCAATCAAAAACTTACATATGACATTGTTAAAACAAAGTGAAAAGAGACTCATGTTTCTTCATGGCCAAATCATCATTAACGGCTATTGAGAGCTTTTCTCAACAGCAAAAGTTGGTTCTTTACTACGGAAAATGAATTTCTTTACTATATTCCTTATCATTAAGTTCTAGTAATCCGTCTTAAGGCCTTTTATTAGAAAAATCTACTTAACAACGACATAATACTTGGTCAATTTAGCACTTAATTACCTTTCAACAAAGAAATTTGAACCCATTTATGTTCACATAGTTTTTCAAGAACAAAAGTATCATCTACTCGTACAAATTCAAAATATGAAATTCACTTATAGAACTCGAATCTAATCTTGATTTCAAAATACCCACAAAGCTAAAAAAGATTAAACTAATTTTTGAGAGAAAATTTGAAATCAAACACTAAACTAAAAAATAGCACACAAAGCTTACATAAATGTATATTTACAAGGAAATAAAAAAAAATCTTTTGAAGTAAAGTAAAGCCTTGGAAAAAGAAATTAGAAAGGATGAACATGATTATTTCTAAAAAAAAATTATGGATCAAAATGTGAGTAGGTCGGGGTTTTACCCGACCCGCTATTAAACAAGTAAGACATATAAGAAAATATTATTTTATTTGGAGGTGAAACATACACACATATGAAAGCGCGAATATTATAAAAATAATATATTTAAAATTATTAAAAATAGTCGAATGTGATTATAAAACTTCCGCATATTTCTGGTTTCAATTTCAGAAAAAGTACAAATTTAATGAGATAATTATATATTTCCTCTAAAAATACATGATTAAATATGATGGATACAGATTGACAGATATTTCACAAAAAATAATAAAAATAAAGATAATTTTGGTCACTATTTATTTTATTAAAATAAAAGTTGAGAAGTAGAATAACAGAAGAGGACAAGACACATATAAAACAACGAAGAAAAAGGGAAAAAACAAGGACAACACATTGGAACTAAATAAGAAGATTCATGAACGGGAGGGAGTTAGAAGCCTAAATCGAAAATTAAAATATCTTGTTTACTTAAAATTTGAATCGAAGAAAATAATACTTCAAATTTCTTATGCGTAAAAATTAAAAAAGTTATACATGAACACAAAAATCTCATAAAACAAAATGACATATACATATAATATACATATATCTTGTAAAGATTAGAAAATCATTTTTCGCGATTCTCAACGGGTACATATGTATTGTTGATTAGTACAGTAAACACACTTTTCTACTTCACGTTCCGTATGATTTTACTGTCGTACGTTCCAACAACAGACATCCGAGAAACTGAAAATGTGTATATAATCGTGATCCGTATATTACATGTCTTATTTAAGTTTGTAAGATTCAAATGACATTTATCATTTCAATATACCTTATACATATTTTTAAAGATTGTCCGTATATATCGTGAAGTTTTTTTTTCATATAAACAATGAAGTTTAATTGTGCGATTTTTCTCAAATTTTCACATTACATTGTGAATCAAATGTTTCAATGGCTTAGTCTAAAGGTCTAGTTGCTGGTTCAAGAGACTACATATATTATAATAAAACAAATATTCAAAAGATAAAATTATATGGAGTACTAATTAGCTAGGTGTTATATAGATAATTCCTCCATTTTCTTTTAATTGCAAGAATAAATTGCGGTCATCTTCAACCTCCAAATATGCAAAGAAATAAGAAAGATAAGGTCTAGTAAATACAATTACAATTATTATATAAATAGAGTTTATGAAAAGATTGAGTGTACAATAATCATATCTACTTAGAGAACATATCAAAAACATGTTGACAAAGGAGCAATAATCGAAATTCAAGAAACAACGAATTGTCATTCATCTTTAAAACTCAATACGAGTAGCTAAAACAAATATAAAAAATGAACTGCATGAGTAATATTATGACTACGTATAAGCAAGACAACATTCTATTACCTACTAACCTCTCCCACCTTTATTCATGTCGACCTCCACAATTCTTTTATTTAAGGTCATGTTCTAGATAAACTGAAATAATGTCATATTTTGTCTAATATTCATCTCGTCCCAATAATTCTCTTGACTATCTTTACTTCTCCTGAAACTATTCACAGTCAATCTCTTATACGTATATATTAATAAATTGACTATTTTCACTCGTACAAACCATCTTGAATAATAAAAAAGTACTATTTTGTTGATTGATGGAGCATTGATTATTACACTACTCAGATAATCTAATTGTATTACTCCTAGTAGTATTTTAATTTTATATATCTAAACACATCACATAGGAGATCATCCTAATACGCTCACACCTTTTTAATAATATATATTGAGCGAGGAATGTCGAGGTAACAACTTTAAATCAACCATTTATTAATTACTACTACTAATAAAAAATTAACATAAAAAATTAGATGAAAGGCGTTAAGTTCTAGTACAAATTACAATGGAATATTATTGCTTGAATAGTAGTTATATTATTAAGTATTTTATTAGACTAGTAGTATTATATACTATGCCATTTCAACAAAGGCTACCTAAACGAACGTCAGTTTCTAATATTTTTATAATTATTTATTTTATCATGAAAATTTTTGTTTTCTCACCTTTTAAGCTTTTAGAATTTTGAGGATCTAATATTATATATTAATATAAGTAAGTTCAACTTATAAATTCATTTGAATTCAATAATTTTAATTTGTACTATAACTATGTATTAAAAAAGTTACTATATTAAATAATAATAATAAATAATAATTAATTTTATATATTTTACATTATAATAAAATTTCAATTTCAAATTCATAAAATTTAATTTCTTACGTTTGCATTATTATCTTAGCCTCCACATGTTGTATTGAAGAACGTAGATAATTGCATATCTCCAACGGCTTTGGGAGAAGTGATCTTCTCAAGATCCAAGAGATCTAATTTACTTTTGGGAAAAAAATCATAATTTAAATTTTGATGAATTTAATATTTATAATTTTAATTTTAAAAATATTTTATTATTAAATTATAAATTTAAATTTAATTTATATATACTATGTCGAAAATTATAGATTTATGTGAACCCAAAAGGCCACAACCGTTAGTTTCGTGCTTTGTTGTGCCTTTAGAGAACAGAAAAATAGAATTTTTTTCCAACATTATTATAAAATTCATTATACTGATTTGATGATTAATGGAAAATTCAACTATGTGTTGTACCAACTACCAACACAATTAGTGGGGTTTCTACGTAACGTGAAATCTTAAACACTTTAATATGATATGATATATGGTACAGTAATTAGTATAATTAATTTAACCTGCATGATTTGGTCCTCATCTACTTACATGAAGAGCACCGTTGGTAAAATTAAATTTAATAGGATTTAATCCGAATATCATAAACTATATATGGAATATAAATCCAAAACTCAAAGCACACATTTGAGCATAATTATTTAAAAAAGAACGAGTTATACCTTTTCAAGTGTAATTATAGTAAAAAGATTATCATAAAATCTTTCCAGAAAAGAACAATTAGTGGATCATTTCAAAATTGCAATTATTGGTCTCAAATTTCAATTTTGGGTTTGATATATGATCATCAGGCTCTTTCAGTTATAGTAAATTAAACTATAGCTCTACAATTCAAGGCTTGTCTAGTGCTTCAAGTTTATAAAATTTAACGTTTAAAACTTATTGATTGTCGATTTTATTATGAAATTTTTGTCAGCCTAATATAGTATTAATTAATCAAGTTTTGATCAACTTATTGGTTAATTGTATCATCGATACAGTTATTAAATATCCTATCATATTGGTAATTGGTACTTTTTCTGTGAGGGTGTGGAAGAGGGAGGACTTTCGTTATTTTTGAAATAATTGTCTAAATTTTTTTCTTCTTTGGGAGTATGGGTAGAGGGAGGACTTTCTTTATTTTTAAAATAGTTGTCTCAAATTATTTTTAATTTCATCTTATATCATTGATAATAATTGATCTTCAATACTATAAATATCTTAATCGAGAAATTACTTATGGATAGTTGGTTTAATTCTAACATTACTTTTATGTACCAATAAGAATTGTTATGTCTAACATTAATACCATTATTAGTAACCAAACAAAGTATAGAACGAATGAGACTTATATAAAATATCTAAGTGAAAGAGTCAATTTTAAATAATTATCAATAGGTTCAGCTTAAAAATTTATCTCATAATTATTTATACTTATCCATCATATAAAACAAAATATTTATACTTATTCATTATATTAAACATCCTCTTAAAAAATATGTTATTTCCCATAAGAATGTAAAAATAAAATAAATTAAAGCTTATTTTAATTAATTTTCATTTGAAAGATGGGTAAAGAAAAACACAAGACATAATTTGAGACCGAGTAAACCAAGTCTTTCTCATGGCCAAGCAGGGGCGCGCCAAAAAGTGAAAACGGCGTCGTGTGAAGTCGCTCCTACACAAGCAGTTTACCGTTAAATTCAAGTCCCGTTGAAGAATGTGAAACGTGGCATTCGTTCCTCTTACTGAAAAAAAAAATACTCTCTCTTACAATTAACTAAAAATATAGCAAATCCTTTTTCCTCTTTTGGAGTTTGTGAATTTTTGATTCTGAGTGAAATTGAAGAAGATTTTGACAGACCTCTTAATTTGAAGGCAAGTTTTTTTTTTTTTTTACATTTAGTATCGTATTTTCTCTGTTATTTTGCGATTGTTTTTTGCTGCTTTCGTATTTGGGTAGTAACCATTGTTTAATTTTGTTGAATCAATATTGCTCTGTTGATATTCTGTTTTTTTCTAATTTACTGGCTTTGGTATGTTAGTACGTGGATCATGGATGAAAATAATTTGCCTTTTTTTTTACAAATTTGATGGGTGTCAGCTTGCGCGTACCTTTACATCTACTTGTTACCTCTCATTATCACATGTACTGTCGATAAGTAATTCTGTCTAGTAGACAGATGAGAAGTCTCTAGTGGTTTGTTTACGCTGGATCTAAAATCTCGTGATTTTCAACCACTTCATTAACTAACTAGGGCACATTTTGGGTGAAACTTTTTTTTTTTCATTTAGCTGAATTGATTCAACTAAAGTATTTTAATTTTACTTTCGCCGTTTATTTCAACACCAAAAAAGAGTGTTTTTGGGTTTTTTTGTAGGGAGTTTTGGTCCATTGTTTTGTTTATATGGTGATTAAGTTAAACATTGTTTGATTCGATGCGTGTTAATATATTTACGTTGGATGGATCCTAATGCATACTGGATAATGCAATATCACAAGTGGCTGTTTTCTTTCAATCTCCTTATTGCGAGTTCTGTAGATTTTGTTGCATTAAAACTATATATGTGTCTGTTGACTATAGCTGCAATGCTATAGTATCAGTTCCTGAAAAGCTGTCTGGTTGGTCCATGAGATACCAAAATGTTTTAAGAATTTAAACCATCGAATGTGGTGAAAGATTGGCTATTGGCGTATATAGTATGGAATCTTCACACAAATAGCAGGACAGATTTCTTTTTCTAGCTGGTATACGTAGCTTATATACAATTATCCACATATTATACATCCGCTGGCTATTCTTAGTTTAATCAGTTTATGCATTTGGCTCTTTCTTTATAGATTGGCAGTCTCCGGTATCAAGGTGACAGAGTGAACAAGATAGGGTGAGTATCCTGTATCCGTTTATTCACTTCCCTGCAAATGTGGCGAAATCTTGAGGGTGAGCATGGGGTGAATAATTCCCGTGCTCGTTGTGGAGAAGGGAAAATGCAACAGAAGACTGACATTGAAAACTCAAACAGTACAGGTCCCATTTTATTGTATGATCAACAAATTGTTATGGGAATATCTAGCTTTGAAGGTGCCAATGAGGGTTGTAATGGACGTGTGGCATCTCAAAGCCTGAATGTGTTGGTAAACGAATCGGAGGATAACCGTAGTATTCTCTCAGATCAATCTAGCGATCTTGGGGAAATAGAACGCGAGAGAGTAAGGCAGGTTTTTCAAGAGTGGATGAGCACCAGTGAAAAGGATCATTCACAATCATTGAGTGTCTCGCATAAGAACAACTGCTCGGGGGCACCATGGTTAGGGGAAAATGAACGAGAAAGGGTGAGAATCATAAGAGAGTGGGTGAAAATCAACATTCAGCAAAATGACGCGGGTTATCCAAGAGATGAAGGCACTGCTGATATCGATTCTCAGTTCGAACAAGTGCGTGATGGATCTTTGGTCAATCATTCTGAAAATGGAGAGAGAAAACCGGTGCGTATGTATTGCAGCAGAAAATCTCTTCTGGAATTGTTGATGAAGTTTCAAATGGAAAGGCAAAGAGAAATTCAGGGCTTATTGGAGTGTAAGCCTGTATCAAACTTCACATACCACAACCGAATTCAGGTAAGACTTGAGTAGAGAATGCTTTTCGTGGAATGTGCATTTTTAATCTTTTAGTCTGTTTTTGTATTATATCATTATGACTGTAGATTTTCTATTAGATTCATAAGATAAAAATTGAGAGGAAAAAGGAAAGACAGATTGAAAACTAGACGACTTGGCGAGATCAATAAACTGTAATTAATATTCTGAAAAAATAAAAAAATAGTTTGTAGTTTTAAAAATTAACTCAAACTTATTGGCATCAAAATGGATTTTAAGTCATATGTGAGAATTTCATTATAAAGATGTTCATTAAATAACTTCTATGCAAAATGTGAACAAGAAGAGGAAGAGCAAGAGCAAGAGAAAGTTATAACCAGGCATTAGAAACATCAATTTAGTAGCTGGCGAGTCTGGTTCGTGAAAATTTAATTAACCAAGGGTCATAAATTATAAACATACACGATATCAGTTAATTGAGTGGAGTGAATATGAATAACAAGATCATTTGATTGGATTTGATATGATTTGACGTTTGATAGTCTGCTTTCTGTAGAGTGTAAGATTGATCCACTTTTTATTGAAATTTGGATTACATAATCTCCGTTACCAGTTAGTGTGTTGTGTACAACATTTGGCTTTTCCTGATAGTGTTTCAAACCTTCTCCTAGTCATTGCTCAAGGGTAGATTTCTGCGGAACGAGAGATTGATGACCAGTGATGAAAGAACTACATCAGATGCCGCAAGTGAATTGAGCTTACTGAGACAAAGTCAAACTGTATCTTACTTGAGGTAGAGCAAAGTATTTTTCTTTAAAATGTTCACCTTTTTGATAAACCTGTGCATGGATTACCTGGTTCAAATGCAGTAACTCACTTGATTTCACTCTTTTGCTTTACCGAAGATAATGGCTCTCGCCTTAGTCTACCAATCCTTGTTAGAAACTGCTTGGTTGTGCTTTTCTTTTGTTACTTTTTTTAGTAATTTAAGTGGACAAAGCAATCTAGAAGATAATTTCTTCTGTCCTAAAGTCATATGTTATATCGTAAAATTATGTGTGAAACAGGAAAGAGATTTTATCCAGATTGGTCGATAATGCTCGTAGTTCTACAAAAAATGTGCAGCTGAATGCCTCTTCTACAGATGACCTGAATCATCATCATCGAAGTGAACAGTCTCAATCAAATAATGTACAAGAGATAATTGATGAATCCTATGATCAATCTGAACTCGATAGTGAAGAGAGGGAAACTTATGGATCTCATGTATTTGGGAACTCAGAAAGCATTACATCTGAGGAAGTAAACCAGCAAAATTCGATTGATCAAATAGCTGAACATTCAAATCAAATAGCAGCTGTTGAAAGTGGTTCTCGAGGGCATGTACGAGAAGACCATGAACCCTTTCATGATAATGATGCACCAAGAAGTGAGGCAAGTGATACTCATGAAGTATATGATCATTTTCATGGCTTGAGAAGTAGTACTTTTGAAGACTATGTGTGGCAAGTTTTATCATCTCAGGCAGAGGATCCACAGGATGTTGTCACGGATCATGAGGAAAGCAACTTGCGACAATCAGAAGTGCCATATGAACTAGTTATCGAACATGGAGAAAGTGAGCAAATGTCTTCTTCTGAACACAATGAAACAACAAATGACACAACAGAAGAAATGGGCGGAAGTTGGCAGGAAGGTGCTGCAAACCATTGGTACCCATACAGCTCGGAAAATGACACTGAAGAACAAATCTATGAGCAAGAACAACAGGAGGACTGGCAGAGTAATGATTGGCTGGACATGCCTTCTAATCAGAATGCTGGATCCATGAGAAGGGTTGATTCATTTTATATGCCTGATGATGATAATGTTTACAATATTGAACTTCGAGAACTTCTAAGCAGGTAAATGACTCTCGTTACTGTAGGATTATTCATTTTCTACGAAAAATTGATGCTTAAGCGATGTAACTGGGTCCTTAATGTTGTAGGAGGCGTGTATCTAATCTGCTTCAAAGTGGCTTTCGTGAGAGTCTAGACCAGCTAATACAATCTTACGTTGAAAGGCAAGGACACGCTTCTGAATGGTATATGGATGGAATATCATCATCCCCTGATGATATGGAATACGAGCTGCTTCAAGAATACGATAATCAAGATGGACCTCAGATAAATAGTGAATCTAATTCCTTTGCCGTGGCTTCACTACATGTGGAACCTTCTCTGCAGTTGATAGGAACAGTAAGCTCACCTTTATATTCCTTGACTACTCTACTTAAATTTAATTAGAGAAGTTGATTCATGTAGTTTTCTCCGTCCCAATTTAAGTGTCTTACTTTTTTTTTTAGTTGTTTCAAAAAAGAATGCCTCTTTCCATATTTGATAAGTTTTCCAATTCCAACGTAAGACCACAGAATAAAAAGATCTCCATACTTGCTTGACCTACTGCAGGATTGGGAAATCATACATGAGTTGAGGAATGACATGGTTCGGCTTCAGCAGAGGATGGACAATATGCAGAAGATGTTTGAAAAGTGTATGGAAATGCAAGTTGAGCTCCAACGCACGGTTCATCAAAATGTTTCTGCAGCGTTAAATCGATATGCTTGTTCAACAGGTTAGATCTCACATCTAAAAATAGATTTTTTGTATCCATATTGTAGTTATACTTTTCCGTTTCAACCTGAAAGGAAGATGAATTCAGAACAGTTCATTTCGTTTCGTTCTATTGATCAGATATTGATGCATGTGAGGACAGTGTGCTAAATGATGAATCCAAATGGGATAATGTAAGAAAAGGGATTTGTTGCTTGTGTCCTAATAGCAGCATAGATGCGTTACTGTATAGGTAAACTATATATATAAACATCCTTGTCCATTCATATCTCGAGCATCGATACTTCTCTTTTGAGCAGCCTTAGAGACTCCTCTTTCTTCCCTTTTTCTGTTGGATGTTTGAATTCGTCAGCTCAAGGGAATTATTGATTTGAAATTGATGCAGGTGTGGACACATGTGCACATGTTTAAAATGTGCAGAAAAGTTGGTTCAGTGGAACGGAAAATGTCCAATGTGCCAGGTGCCAGTAAATGAGGCTATCCGAGCTTTTTCTATACAGTAATGTTGCTGCAGGGGGCATAACTTGGGTAAGCGCACATGCTCAAATTCCAGTAAAATTGGTCCGGTGACGAGAAATACATCCAAAATTGCCCACGCAGCGTCAACTAACTAGTGATCTGAGCTTTTTCTGTATATAATTGGTAGAAAACTAAACAATACCTGTGAAACAAAACAGAGTGGATCCGTCATCCGTTGCTGCTTTAGTTTGTCTAGGTAAGTCGTTTTACTCTCTGAAGATCCTCGTGTTTTTCATCATTAATATGTAAATCATGATGTAAGTAATAGATTCATCTGTTTAGATGGATTTACTCAAATTTCAACTTTGTACAATATGAAATGTGTTGCAACTTGTAAGGTATTCTATTTTTCTTCCTCTACTGATCTTTTCAAGTTATTCGTCGGTAAGTATAGGAAACATTGTTTGTTAATTATCTGATCCAATGCGTTCTACTTATCTCCAGTAGATATAAGCTCAGCTTAAATAAAATAAAAAACAATAGGCTCATAGAACTACTGAAACTATTACAAAAAAGAGCCCGATATTTGCTTGCAGTGATTTTCCAAAATCAAACACCTGGCTAGAAAAGGATAGTAAACCAAAATGCAATAAACATAAACCTCTAAATATTCACAAAGCTACCAAACTAACTGACAGTTAGGGCTTCGACTTCGACTTTTCAACATTAGTCACATAGTTGGCTACAGCGTTTGTCCCTTCAGCAATTGCATGCTTTCCAAGCTCCCCTGGTAGCACCAATTTCACCGCATCTTGAATATCCACTGACGCCAACGTGGTGCGTCCCACGTACTTCGTGAGGATCGCCGCTTCGTTGGCGATCCTCTCGAACATATCACCCATCAAATTATTCAATACCGTCATAGCCTTTGATGAAATTCCCATATCTGGATGAACTTGCTTCATCACTCTAAACACATACCTTCTATACCCTTCACTGGGTCCCACTCCCCCACCCACTTTCGCCCTCTTCTTTTTCCTCTCTCCACCTCCTTTTGCTTTCTGGGCCGGGTCGGGTTTCCTCTTTTGGGCCTTCCTTTGATCCGCTTCCATTTTCGGAGGCGTAGGCATCTCCTCTGGTTCCTCAGATGGTTGAGTTTCATCTTCATCACCTCGTTGGGCAGGCTCGGGTTTCCTCTTCTGGGTCTTTTTTTGACCCGATTCCTTTTTCGGAGGTGATGGCATCTCTTCTGGCTCATCAGCTGGTTGCGTTTCATCTTCATCTACTTGTTGGGCCGGGTCGGGTTTTCGTCGTGGGGCCTTTTTTCCTTCGGATATGTCTTGAACATTAATGGTTCTTTTAGGCGTAGGTTCTTCAGAAGGAGCTGGAGTTAGTATTTCGAATGATTGATTTTCTTCAGCCAAAGTTTGACTTTCGGTCTCCGTTTCACCGGCAACCGGAGTTACGACGACGGAGACGGTTTCTTCCACCACTTTTCGGGCGGTGACCACCGTAGCACGGACCCTTCCTCCACGCTTCTTTGGTGCCATTTTCGAATTTTATATTTTTCTATTGTTTTTTCCCTCTCTTTTTTCTTAAAGTGTGTTTTGAAAAATGTACGGTGGAGTAGTATATGAAGAGGGAAATTCTCAGCTTTTTCACTGTTGAGAAGTTTGTAAGAGATTGACACGTGGAATACAGGTGTTGAAATAATGGAAGTTACATGATACGTGGGTAAAAACGAAGAGTAAAGAAGATGCCACCTTTCATATCAATTTTCACTGTTCAGTTTTAAGAACAACTAATTTATATTTATAATTTATAATGAGAAAAAAAAAATGAAGAGTAAAGAGGATTTTTGACTGGATTAATTCTTGGTGGAGTAGTATAATACTTTGTTGCTATGCTTTTTAAAATTAATGTAGTAATTACTAGTTATATACGATCTATAGATTTGTTATCATGTTATATATAACTAATATTAATTATTGTATAATTCACAGCGTAAGAGGTTTTAGTGACCACGTCAGCATAATTAAAGAATAATTATCTTTCAAAATCTGTTCCGCATCATTTTCATTGTATTTATGAAGAATATTTTTTGTTATAAATAAACACTTTTTAAAAAATATTATGCAATATATGTTATATTTAATATAATTAATAAAGCATTTCATAAGAATTAATACCAACATAATTAATGTAAAAATAGTTAATAATAATAGGGAAAAAGAATAAATATATCCACGTACTATTGTAAATGGTATGCATATACTCTTCGTTATATTTTTAGTACATCAATATTCTTATCGTCCAACAATCAGAATATATTTACTGTTAGAGGAATAGTTAGTGACACGTGTCGCAGTCCTACGACTCTGATTTGACCAATTAATTAACCTAAAATGAAAATACCCGCCCAATGACCCATTTAACCCATCCAATACCCCCATTGCCCATACAAATACTAACCTATTTTCTGCAATCGACTCCTCCAGAGAAGTATATTTTTCTCCGACTTCAATATACAATGGAGAAAGGAATAAACTCGGCAACACAACTTTCTCAAATTTCATTGCACCAACCAATCATTTTCTCAATTTAATTTGTTCTAATTACTATTTTAGAGATAACATATAAAGTGTCAAATTTCTATTGCACCAATCAATTATGTGCTTAATTTCTTTTCCAGTTAGACTATGTTTAATTTAAAAGTGATTTTTTTTTAAAAGTGATTTTTTTTAAGTAAACAAAGCACAAATTGCATTACCTAGATTCAAAAATGATTGTAAACTAACGATTCCATATACTTCAACTGAATTGAAATTAGATTTATAGAACTAACTGTAGCATTCGAGCAACATATCTAAAGAAAAAACAGTTAAACATTAACAACTATCTTCTTCCCAATTTCTCTTAAAGCCACAAATCCTAGTCGAAAATGGTGAGACTTTTTCACTCCTTCAATCGTCGGAGCAATTTTTCTTGTTGCCGTAGTAGCCAGTTGCTTCCTTACCACCAGTGGATTTGTGAGTTGTGTTTGCTTAGTACGCGCCATTTTTAGTCTATATTAGGAAAAAATGGAGATGTATAACAATGGTGATGAAGAAAGATTTTAGTTTGTGAGATGAACCACAGATATGAGAGGAGGCATTTTTCCTTTTTTAAAAAATTTTTTTTTAGATAGGTTAATATTTGTGTGGGTAATGGATCATTGGACGGGTATTTTAATTTTGGGTTAATTAATTGGGCAAATTGGGCACATGTCACTAGTTATTCTTCCGTTAGAGGGAGAGATAAATGTGTTCTGATTTTTGGACGATAAAAATATTGATGTACTAAAAGTATAACGAAGGGTATATGCATATCATTTATGATAGTTTGGAAATATATTTATCTTTTTTCCTATAATAATATTACTAATATTCGTATTAGTGACAATGATGGAGCCAGAAACCTTTCCTCGGATGACGTAAAAAGACAACAAAATTATTAGTTTTACTGTATTTTTACCCCAGATTAAAGAAATGTGGATTTTATTAGAAAAGTTATTGGGTATCTAATTCACTGTCAACTTATTGTTATAGAGTTAATCTTATCTAATTAGGCTCTCGTATAGTAATGTACAGTTGCACACGATCAAGATTTTCAATGATGGATGAGCACAAAAGTGTTAGAGTCTTAAATCAACGGATAGTTAGCTCTTGAAGTTAAACTAGTTTTTGCATTATTTTAACTCGATTGATTCGATAAATCTATCTATGGTTACCTGGTTTAGGATAATGAACACTATAAGACCATGCTAGCACTAGAATATGTGCATAGAGCACACACACAAATGTATTGGACCATAACGGTGACAGTTGACGCCACTGTTATAAGTATACAGAATGAACATTATTCATCCCATACAATACAACAGAGTCAACAACTCTTGTCTATTCATTTTCCTTTAGTTGGTTTCTTATAATTCAATTCACTGCAATATATTCATATATATCTAGTAACTTATCTATGTAACTGCTTTCTCTCGGGAAGAGAATGACCTCATTTTCTTTTTAGTCTATTTAAGAAAATGATTCTTTTTTGTAACAATTTAATTTGCCTTTTTCAAGTGACATATTTAATGTCACAAGACTAAATGTCAATTTTACATATTTGACATAATTTTAATTTAGGACGACAAGATTTAAAAATGTTCTTTTTTTTCTTAAACTTTACGTCAAGTCAAACTAGATCATTCTTTTTAAAACGAAAGAAGTATATAATGAGTGTTGAGTTGTTCTAGATTTTTATACATGTATTTATTTTTTATATCTCTTTAATAAAAATTTTAACTCGAAAAACATACATATTTATTCATTTAAGTATAACTTAGAGGTGTTGAGGGTGACTTTCATTTGTAACCATATTAATTAACAATAATAATGTGCAACATTCTAAGGCATACGATAAAATTGTACTAAGGAGTCATAACTCACATGGTCGATTCTACCTGATTGTCTACACTTTAAATACTCACGTTGATTATTATATATTTGTCACATCCTTAATTTGGTCCACATATAACTTAATTTTTAGGGGTTGAGACATGGACATGTCCTTTGTTAATTTTATAAAGAAAGATTTCCTAAATTAAATAATTTTAAATACTCTCTTCTATGCTTTCAAAAAATGTTATAAAAAACAAAAGTATTAATTTTTTAGAGTACTATTGTAGGTCAACCAAAATGAATGGGTCTACATAGAAAATACTTTGCCTCGTTGAGTCTATTTTGGCTACCAGGTTGATAATTAATGAACCTATAACGGAGTATATGGACAAAACCCAAACAACACTTATTGGGCAAAATAGTACTATGGTCAATAACTCTAGTCATTTACGTTTTTTTTTTATATTAATATTATCTCAGAGCGCAAACAAATTAAATTTAATTTAATTTATCGTAATTAGTTAGGTCAATCATGTTCTCTAAGACAAAAAAAAAGATATTGTTAAGAATTTCAATGAAAGGTTTTTTAGCTATGAACCATACTTGAAGAATACAGATCCCCTAGTTATTTCAAAATAATTTATCAACACAAATCGTTTGAAAGTTATTGAAATCCATCATTCGATGATTTGATATGTCAAAAACGGAGTAACTTAGGGTGTGTTTTATAGAAATGAAAAGGTTTTCTTCAATAAATATGTATTTTTTAATGGAGGATGGGAAGAAAACACATGATATAGAATCACGCTTCAATTTATCTTCATTACTTTTAAAGCAAAAAAATATTTTATTTATTTTAAAAAAACTTTTATTTCTAGATCAAAAAAATTAAATAATTAAACATGAAAAGATTTACACAAATATTATTGGATATTTTTTCCCTCCATACCAAAAAAACGTAGCATTCAAAATATTTCGTCGACATCAATTGCCATTGAATTCTCTAATTATAATTTTTAAGATATTATTATTTTAAAGAAAGCCACCTTATCTGAGTGGGTGGTGTTGGGTTTTATTTGCCCTAAATTTCTTACCATAAATAGGTTTTTCTTGTAGGAAAAAGTTTTGAATTGACTAATCCTTTTCTTGTAGGAAAAGGTTTAGGACTCTATAAATAGAGGCATGTTCCTTCTAACATAATTAGAATTCACAATGTAGTTTTAAGGGCTTTGAGAGTTTTGGTTAGAGGGAGAATTTGTGAACCTCTCATGAGTGAATTGGTTGAGGTTGTTTCCCTCTGTATTTTGTAAACTCATGTTTATAGTGGATTGCTCATCTCCTTTGTGGACGTAGGTCGATTGACCGAACCACGTTAAATCTTTGTGTCTTTTGGTATATTTCTCCTTGTCTTCTTACTCGTGGTCTTTCGAGGTTTGCTTTGCTAGCTTCCGCATTTACACCTGCTTATTTCCGGTCCTAACAAGTGGTATCAGAGCCAGATTCAATGATGGAATCAGGTGTAGTGGTTCGATAATCGATGATTGAACCAAGTTAGAAAGAGGTGTTCATCTTGACGGGTGTAGTTCTAGCCACAACCTTTTTGACAGTAATGAAGATTTTGTTGGAGAAATTGTTTCAGAGAGGTTCTCTGTGTTGAGACATAAATTTTGTAAAGGAGATTATGGAGAGGAGAAGTAAGTTGTTGAAGATTAAGAAAGAAGGTGGACAAATTTATTTTGTCAGAAATTCAGGCCAAGGGGGAGATTTGTTGGGTTTTATTTGCCTAAATTTCTTGCCATAAATAGGTTTTCCTTGTAGGAAAAAGTTTTGAATTGACTAATCCTTTTCTTGTAGGAAAAGGTTTAGGACTCTATAAATAGAGGCATGTTGCATTCACAATGTAGTTTTAAGGGCTTTGAGAGTTTTGGTTAGAGGGAGAATTTGTGAACCTCTCATGTATTCCGAGTGAATTGGTTGAGGTTGTTTCCCTCTGTATTTTGTACTCTCATGTTTATAGTGGATTGCTCATCTCCTTTGTGGACGTAGGTCGATTGACAGAACCACGTTAAATCTTTGTGTCTTTTGGTATATTTCTCCTTGTCTTCTTACTCGTGGTCTTTCGAGGTTTGCTTTGCTAGCTTCCGCGTTTACACCTGCTTATTTCCGGTCCTAACAGGTGGCTGGGTGCTAACCAATTGTTAAACTACCTCTTAAAGGATTTAACTCCTATTTAAAAATTTTAATACTCATTCCTAAGTATTTATTTACTTGTCATAATTACTATAAATATTTAATTGAAAATAATATTTGTCATTATATTTTGGAAAATTAGTACTCTTTTTTAACATATACAGATATCATAAATGTGGTGAAGAAAAAATAAGGAATAATGAGAGCAACAAATATTTCTAAAAATGATTACTATTTTCTTAAAGGAAATTATTAAAATAAAATGATAGTACAACATTCCTCTTTTTACCGTCAAATGACTGAATACCCGTAAAAATATGCTTATTATTAAAACTTCAATCTACCTTACCTTAACAAAGAGTTAAATCTCATGAGATTCATATATAATCTATGAGTATTTCCAATCAATTAAAACTACCAATTATCAATTAATCAATGGTGAAAACTAAAAAAAAATCAATTTTCTCAATAAATTCTTAACTTGCCCAATAGTTAATTCAGAATAAAAAAGAACAAATACATTTTTCGCAAAAACTTATTCATATAGTAAAAGGAAACATATAATGTAAAACTTTTTATTCTCATCAACTATGGTAGTACTATACCATAATTTCCACACATCATTTTATTTCATCACCTAGCTATATATAATAATATAGAATCTCTTCTATATAAAAAAAAACAGAGTATAAATATAACGTAAATAAGGAACTTATTAACCCTAAAAAAAATCAGGGGCTATATAATATGTCTTATAATTCACATGAAATTAATTAACTAATACTTTGAATATGATAAAACTATATTAATTCATGATAAGTCTTTTCTTAACGGCCATACCTCGAGAAATTTCATTACACGATACGAAGAATTTCTCCAACTCTTCATTTCCACCAACTTCAAAAAATTCGAACTGTGGAAACTTTCTCTTACTAAGTAATGATTCCCTCGGTTTCTTCGGAGCCGGGGGAGGACAACTTCCGGCTATCGGAATCTTGTTTTTCCGACAAGTTGGTGTTCGACACAAATCTTCACCAATATTATTATGCCTAGAAGTAGTACTATTATTATTATTTTTGTTTAGTACTAATATTTCATCTTCATGATGGTTTAAAATTTGAGGATCTGACATGAAGTTTAATAAGGGATTTTTTTTTTTTGGTAATGCAATATTGGTAGATGAAATGAAATTTGATAAAAGTAGCTAGATTGAAAATAGATGTAGATGGAAAGGTTTTTGTTT